AAGATCTCACTCCACAATTTACTTAAAGCTGTATATATTGAAATTTAAGGGCAATTAAAGGAAGTAATGTCGAGTCCAGGCATACTTTGGAACTATTGCAGTTGCAATTCCAAACCACTGCAATAAGGTGGACATTCCAATAAATGGATCCTTGTGAATTTCTTGTTTTCCCAGTGCCCATTGCATATAAAAGTTACATTTATATTATATTGTTGTAAAATGTCAGCAAGTTAGTTCTGAGTCGTACAACACTGCCTGATCCAGCACCATCCTCACAATTGTTGCTGTGCTTGAGCCCATTGTTACAACCACTGTGCCATTTCATCTTGTGGAAAGTCTTCCTGTTTCATACTGATCCTCTACTAGGTTCATATTATACTAGAGCCTATTAAGTATGCAATAGCATTATGAAAAGTTTGAAATATGTGAGAATTACCAAAATGTAACACAGAGACAAGAAATGCACACCTGATGCTGGAAAAATTGTGCTGATTGATGGTCTTGCTTAATACAGGGTTGTCACAACCCTCAATTTGTAAAAAACAAAAAAATACACAGTGTCTGTGAGGCAAAATAAAGCAAATATAGAGTTATGCCTCTATATACAGTGTGACACAACCTACCTCTAGGGGTTGTTGCTGTCAATTGTGACTCATATTGAACCCTGTGAACTGCAGGGTCGGCGGTTCAAGCTTACCAGCTGCTCCTTGGAAACCCTACATAGGGTCGCAAACGACTTGACGGCACTTGACAGCAACATAGTGTTTCTAAGGAGCAGCTGGCCGGTTTCAACTGCCGACTTTTACAGTTACCCTCCACTGCTTATCCTACCACTCCACACCTTATGTGATGGGTTAGTACTAAAATTCTCACCTTCCATTTGAGATAAGCAGGTTGATTCCTGACCATTATACCTCAAGCTTGTTGTTAGTGCTGTCAAGTCGGTCCTGACATATATAGTAATCCTGTATAGTGTTTCCGAGGAGTGGCTGGTGAGTTTGAAATGCCAGCCTTGTGGTTCAAATCAACCTTGGAGTCAAGTATTTATTCTACACAGCACTATACCAGGCAACACCTCAAGCTTACTGGAGGCTTGCTCAACTGGTTTCAGTGGAGCTTCCAGACGAAGTAGCGAAAGCCCTGGTGATTTAATTCTGAATAATCAGTCACTGAAAACCTTATGGATATCAATGGGTGAATCCTTAGCCAATCTTGGGGATGGCGCAAGAGCGAGGAGTGTTTTGTTCCACTGTGCGTGGGGGTCACCTGAAGTCGGGGTTGACTCAGTGGCAGGTAACAACAGCATATCATAACCTACCTAGTAAAGTGCAAGTTCGCCACACTGTTATGAATTGAAAACAACAAAAAGTATGTGTTACAAATCCTGAGTTTGGGTTTGGTTCTATGCCTGTGTTTGTAATCCCATTTGGGAATGGATTTTTTGGTTATTTAAAAAGACCATTTCCTTATAAGGTTGTGTTTTAAGCCACTCACCTTTGAGATATAAAAGGAGCAGGTTAGGACAGAAAAGGCAGCAGAGTTAGGGGAGATGAATGCTATGCCACATAAAAATCACCAAGGAGCCATTACATACATAGCGTGAAGGATTTTTCTCCCAGGGCCACACAGAGAAAGCCTGTCCTGATTTTGTACTTCTAGTCTCCCGCTCCTGGCACGACAATCTTTAAAGGCCCCAGCGGCCCTTGAGCTAAATGTTGGACTGCTAAACACAATGTCAGTGGTTCAAACCCACCAGCCTCTCTGAGGAAGAACCATGAGGCTATCTGCTGCCATAAAGATGTCCCGTCTCGGAAACCCAAAAAGCAGTTCACCTCTGTCCTGTAGGATCACTGTGAGCTGGAATTGACTGGATGGCAGTGAGTTTAGCCTCTAAACTGTAAGAAACTAAATTTCTGTAAAAGCTACTCACTTGTGGTAGTTCTGTTATAGCAGCATGGTTAGAAGTAAAAATGTTGTAAATTCTTATTATGTATTATCTTGTGCTTTGGGTACTACATCAACAAATTATTATTCTCATTTTCCTTTCTAGAGATTAAGAAGCCACCAGTGGCCCCAAAGCCAAAGTTTGTGATGGCAAGTAATAAGCCAGCTCCACCTCCCATTGCTCCTAAACCTGACATCATGGTTTCTAGTGCTCCACAGTCAACAAAGAAAACCAAGCCGGCAATAGCTCCGAAACCAAAAGTTCTGAAGGATGTTCCTATTCAAGAACTCAGGTCATTATCATTGAGGAAAAATGCTATGAACCTGGAAGAGAACAAACAGAAAGTACCTGACAATTCTGATGACTTTAACTATAAAAATGTAGGAGGGCAGAGCAGTGATTGTATTTTACAAATGTGTTCCTGCAGTTCTGGGTGTATCCATAAGCTTGAGAATCGACGGAATTTGTGTGTAAAGCAGCTTGTTTTCGAGCCCCTGGAAATGTGTGAAAATTTAGAAAATAGTAAAATTGACGCGTTCTCTTTAACTATAAAAACTGGGAATACCTGTGATTCTCAAGGTGAAAAGGTAAAGAGTCAGAGAGGAGTTGTTTTAAAGGCAAGCATCCTAGAAAAGAACCTCAAAGAAGTTCTGACACAAGGACCGTCATCTTTAAGCTCACCACAGAAGCACAGATCCACAGACAATCCAGAAATTAACGGAGGCTCTAATTCAAACAAGCAGTTCAGAATTGAATTAACTGATTTGTCACCATCCCCATCCAACCCTGAGAAAGTTCCTGATCACCACCACCACCTACAACCTCCAAGTGATGTATTTCAAATTGTTGAAACCTGTCAGGATAGTCGTTGCTTTCATTCATCTAAACAAGAAGCTCTGGAAAATGACAGAAGGAATAATTTTACATCTTCAGATGGAGTTAGTAAGGAGGTGGAAGTCAAAGAGCTTGGTCCCTTAGAAATTCACTTAGTTCCATATAACAAAAAATACCCAACTCCCAAACCCAGGAAAACACACAGTGCTCGTCTGATACGCCAAAAGTATATAGATGTTCCTAGTGAAAGTACTGAGGAACCTGAGAATTCAGACAGTAGCTCTTCTTGTATCATTGAAGACCATTTGAAGAACAATAAAATCAATGTTCTTAATCAGAATGTTTTGTGCAACCAGGAACAGGTGGACAGAGTGAAACAAGGACATGAAAGTGAATTGAATCTGGACTCTGACTGTGACAGACAAGCCACAGTCAATTCACAGAAAGCTGTGTGGCCTGAAATGTCTTCCTCTGAAGAAATGATACCTCCTTTAGATACAGACTCCAATTTGAGTTCTGGCAGCAAGACAGTAGAGGACTGTAGTATGCCACCTGCTGTGAACAATGAGACCCATTTTATACGGTGCAGTATTCAATCTATGAGCCTACCTAAACAAGTCAGATTGATTTGTAATGAACATTTGCCTACTGCCTGTAACCCAGGACTGTTTGCCCCTCAATTGCAAAAGGAATCCACAGTAAAAGATGAAAATTCTTCACGAATTGTCCCCAAAAAGCCTCAAAGACACAGTGTGCCTGCTGCAGGGGTGCTTAAAAAGGCTGCCTCAGAGGAACTTGTGGAGAAAAGTTCTTATCCCTCAAATGAAGAAAAAAATTCAGAGAAGACTCTGGAAGGAAATCACCTTCAGCATGTATGGGCTCAACATCCTGGTATGTCATCCTCCTTTGACATGCCTAAACGGTCTTCAGAAAAGCCAGTGTGGAAATTACCTCATCCAATTTTACCCTTTTCAGGAAACCCAGAATCCTTAAAGTCTGTGAGGATGTCCTCAAATAATGAGCCCTCAGCTGCCCTAACCAAACCGAGAGCAAAGTCATTATCTGCTGTGGATGTGGAACGAAGAACCAAATCTTGTAAAGAGTCTCAAAAGAAAAACTCTATAAAGAAGTTGCTCAACATGAAATTGTCTGTCTATTTCATGAAGAGTGACTTTCAGAAACTTTGGTCCAAGAGTAGCCAACTTGTAGACACAACCACTGGTAACCTCTGTGGTGAGGAGCGGAAAAAGGTTGAAAGCCACTGGCATGGCTTGTTGGTAGAAGAAGAAAAGAGAAGTAAGCCCATTAAGGCACATTCTGCAGATAACTACAGTCTAGAATCCCAAAAGAAGAGGAAGAAGTCTCGGAGCCATACCAGCATGGCCAGTGGTCCTAGAGCTGAGTCTTTGGATGACCAAATGCTCTCCAGAGAATCATCACCTCAGGCCCCCCACAAATCCGTTTCAAGTGCCTATGCATCAGAGTATGAAAATATAGGCCATTATGCAGAAATACCTGAGTATGAGAACTTGCCATTTGTCATGGCTGTTGGGAAAACTCCAGAGTTTGAATGCCAGAATTCCAGCAGTGTGGAAGACACCGATACACATATGTACGAGGTAGAAGAGCCTTATGAAGTTCCTGTGAACCAACCGCAACTGGACCCCAGACTTCAGCATTGCAGGTAACACTTAGATGTTTGACAGACATTGCAGTTTTTCATGCGTTATTGTAATAAACTTTTCAACAACCTTGTGAGGTAGGTTATATGTGAGAGAAATGCACCTGGTAAAAGACTGGTTCCATTATATATATATATTTATTTAAAAAGAGAAGAAAGAAACATTTGTATTCTTGATTTCTATTATAAGGCTGAGCATTTTAACAACTGTACTTTTACACAAATAATGTTGCATTATGGTTTTTTGGAGGGGGCAGTTTGCATTGTCTTCCAAATAACTAATTTGTCTTCCAAATAACTAATTTTTCAGAGTATATTGACTAGTTATGGAATTCGTAGTCCAAAGTGCAGCTTCCTTTTATCATTTGGATGGAGTGGGTATTTGTGTTGCAAGCCTGGGAGCAGTTAACTTATTTAATATCTGATTCAGAGAAGTTGAACCTGACACAATGTTAATCTACAAGAAAATGATACTACAAAGAAAGTCTGGTACCAGCTCAGGAGTCATTGCAGGAAACCTGGTGTGGCAAATTAGCCAATTCAATGAAGGATTTTTGTTGTTAAGTGTACAACATCTGTAGAGTTATTGAAATCCCTGCATTGTCTTTGTCAGATAAAAACCTTTAAATTTATGATTCCTTAGGAATTAGTTATTTTACTTCTTGAAGCTAATTCCTGACTTCTGATGAATATAGGAGACAAAATGCAGGAAGCATGTAACTTCTTTCTTTCTTATTTCTATTCATGTACTTCATGAGCCTGGTATACATGTTCCATCTCTCTTATTGAAATCTTACCCAATTCTGTTGGGCCAGTTTAGCAATTGTTGGCTTCAGGGAGTTTCCAGAATTAAATTTGTGAAGTGTTCATGTCCTATTCTGACAGCCCAATTGCATTATTGTACTCTTACAGTGTTTATCACAGGCTTTTTGTTGTTGTTGTTGTTGTTAAGTGCTGTTGAGAAGGTTCCGACTCATGGCAACCCTTTATGGGGTTTCCGAGGAGCAGCTGGTGGGTTTAATTCCTGACCTCATGTGGTTCACAATCCAGTGCTAATACTACAGCACCACAGTACAATTATTTATTGGCATGTCTGCTGTTCTGTATTTGATCTTCTATATTTATGTTCTACATGAGACCAAACAAGGAGCTACGGAACCAGTGGATGTTGGCTAGCTATATGACTGAATGAATGAAAAAGAGGTAACACACCTCTGTAGTTGTTTCTTTCTCCCTTCATAGTCCCAAAGGTAGCTTTTGCATTATATATGAAGTATTTTTGTTTTCCACAAAAAGCACTTTGACCATTTTTCTGTAACATTTAATATCTTAGACTCTTCGTAGGCCACTAACTTGAGGCCTTTGAGTAAATACAACTTTTGTAGAACTATCAATATACCTGACTCATGTTGGTTGTTCAATTCTGACTCATAGTGGCCCTGTATAAGATTTCTAAGGAGTAGTTAGTAGGTTTGAACAGCCAACCTTGGAGTTAGTAGTCCAATAGTCCAGTGCTTATTGTACTCCACCTGACTTATGTCGTTGTTAAGTGCCATTGAGTAGGTTCCAACTCAGCAACCGTGCATAGTTCCTGAGGAGTGGCTGGTGAGATTGAACTGCCGACCTTGCAATTAGCAGCCTAGTGCTTATCTTGCAATGCTACACCAGGACTCCAAAATAACTTGTTTAATAGAGGATTAGTAGGTGAATTGAATATGTGACATTGTCAAGCAAAATTTGGGTTAGTGCATGGAGCAAAATAAATGAGTTTAAGTTCTTTGGATTTTCAGGTGCTCTAGCATTTTTCCTTTGCCCCAGAGCCCTCTCTGCCTTTCTTCCTTATACCTACAAAATGCTACTGAACTTCCTTGCCTACTTCTTCTCATGGCTGATTCCATTTTGTTTGTGTCTCTGTATTCTCTGAAAGCAACTAGACAAAAGTCTCTTCCTTTCCATAAATATTTTGACAGAGAATTGGAGCCAAGATATCCAACTTTTTTTTTTTTTTTGCATCTTGTTCTGTTTTTATGCCTGTTCTGTCCTGGTGTGGCACTGTAGGATAATGCACTGGACCTCAACGTCAGTTTGAACCACAAGGTTGGCAGTTCAAATTGAACAGCTATTCCTTGGAAACCTTATACTGGGACTCTATGAGTTGAACTGACTTGATGGCACTTAAAAACAACAACAGCTGTTTTCTGTGGAGTATTTTGGCGGCATTGCTCCCCCTGTAAAGTTAAGCACCAGGCTGCTAACTGAAAAGGTGATGTTGCAAACCCACCCAGCAGGTCTGCGGGAGAAAGACCTGGTGATCTGCTCCTGAAAATACTGTAGCCTAGAAACCCTATGGGGTGGTTCTACTCTGTCCTAGGAAGGTCTCAATGAGTTGTGATAGACTTGAAGCTCCTAACAACAGCAGCATCCTCACTTTGGTGAAAAAAGTTAACATGCTACCCGCTAACCAAAAGGTTGGCGATTCTAGTCCACCCAGGGGTGTCCAGGAAGACAAGGCTGGAGCTTTACTTCTGGAAAATCAACCATCAGTAGCCCCATGGAGCACGGTTCTACTCATACGTACAGACTATCACAAGTAAGAGTCTACTCCAGGCAACTGGTTTATTGATTCTTGGATTATGGTTTTTTTTTTTTTGGTAGTGTGTGTGTATATGTTAAAGATGAATTTTAATTTGGCTTCTAGGTGGTATTCTAAAATGAAAATGTTTTCTTGGAACTGAAGGTTTAGTCCCTGGGCAGGTTTCCTTTGGCTCTCAGGCTTAAATCCCAAGGGATTGCTGCAACCCACTCTTCTCTTCTTGTCTTTATCTGGTATGCTTTGTATGCAGTTAGGGCCCTGTCTAGGTGAGCAGAGCCAGGTTGTGTTGTAAGGGGTTAACTGTACCACCAGCCGGTACAGCTGGAAGGTAATCAGAAGGAGGGGTTCTTTCTGGAGGCCACAGGAAATCCACTGGACTGGTTGTCAGTGAGGAGTAGGTTAGTTAGTTCAGCTTTGGAATTTAGCTTTTTACAGAGACTTTTGTTTAGGCCTGAAGCAGACAGCACTCAACAGTCTTGAGATTCCTAAAATGGGCTGGCTGAATCAAAAGCCTTCAGTCACAGGACCAGATGAACAGTATTGCCTGGGAGGTTGTTCCTTTTACGAACAGTATTGAATAGACAGAGGGGGAGGAAATAGAATCTTAGTTCATGAAGATGACGTCTAGACACCCAAAAATAAGGTAAATGAGAAGCCAGTCACACATTTCATTTCAGATGAACTGAGACATCGAAGTGAAAATCCTGTTTGTTGTCTGGCTGTTGAAAATATAAACCTGTGCTTTGGAGTAATTAACTGAAAGTCCAACACCCTAGGATTCTAAAAAGGACTCCTGGTAGTGCAACAGTTAAGTTCTTGACTGCTAACCAAAAAGGTTGGCATTTTAAAGTCACTCACACAAGAGAAGGACAAGCTGCTGCCTTAAAGATCACAGCAGAGGAAACCCTAGGGGCACTTCTACTAAGTCACATGGATTCACTCTGAATGGAAACTGATTGGAGGGCCTCTAACAACTACTGTTAGGGTCTAAGAAGATAAGGAAAAAATGCAAACCTGAATTATGTTAGGAGTCCTGGTCAGAAACAACTCAATGGCACTTGAGTGATTCAGACTCGAATAGCTTTATGTAGGGTTCTGAGAGTATAGATCTTTATGGGAGCAGACAGTCTCATCTTTCTGCTGTGAAGCAGCTGATGGGCTTGAACCGCTGACTTTGTGATTAGCAGCCCAACATCTAATCCACAGCATTACTAGGAGCCTTTCCCACAAGCCAGTGCCCTAGATTTGGACTGCTAAGCTCCTAAACTGTGAGAACAAAAATTTGTGACCATTAAATCTACCCACTTGTGAAATTTCTGCTAGATCAGCATTAAGAAATCAGGACATACACACCCACTGCTCCAAGTGGATTCCAATGCATAGCGACCCTATATTGGGTTTCCAAGAAGCAGCTGGTAAGCTTGAACCACCGACGCTGCAGTTCAGACTCCTTTGTAGTCTGATACATTAGCCCACAATGCCACACTAGGACTCCTCGAGTGACCTAGTCACTCTCTAATTCCTGAGGGCTGAGAAACTGATTACAGTGACTAATTCCAGCAGAACTTTGGTTTAGACTTAAACTTTAACATCATTTTTTGTTTTTGTTAAGTGCCGTCAAGTCGGTTCTGACCTATAGTGACCCCGCATAGGGTTTCAGGGAGCGGCTGGTAGCTTGAAGCGCCAACCTTGTGGTTCAAACTGACTTTGCAGTCCAGCGCATTAACCTAAATCCATAGATATAGATCAGACAAACCCACTACCATGGAGTCAGTTCAGACTGTAAAGGACAAAGTAGAACTGCCCTGCCCCATAGGGTTTCCAGGGCTGAAATCTTTACCAAAGTAGACTGTCATATCTTTCTCTTGTGGAGCAGCAGGTGGATTCAAACCACTGACCTTTTAGTTAGTAGCCCAAGGCTTTAACCACTGTGCCACCAGCGCTCATTAATCCATGATATGGTAGTGGTTGTGTGCTGTCTTTTCTGACTAATAGCGACCCTGTATTTGGTTTCTGAGACTGTAAATCTTTGTAGGAAAGTCTCATCTGGTGGATTCAAACTAGTTGACGTTGAGGTTAGCAACCCAACACATAACCCACTATTGCCCCAGGGCTCCTGACCCAATCCATGGCATGGTGTTGTTGTTAGTTGCCATCCAGTCAGTGCCAACTCGTAACGACCCTCTGCACAACAGAAGGAAACACTGTCTGGTCCTGTGCCTTCTGCAGAATTGTCGCTACGCTTGAATCCATTGCTGCTGCCACTGTGCTAATCCTTCTTGTTGGGCGTTTTCTTCTTTTTCTTGGACCATTTCTCTACTTTACCAAACATGATGTCCTTTTCCAGGAGCTGGTTAAGTACCTGATATTATTTCTGAAGTATGAGAGACAAAGTCTGACCATTTTGGCT